CTGAATGTGGCGCAAAACAGGAGAGAATAAAGATCGGCGGGCGGGGTGGGGTGGGGTGTTTTTTAAAAAAGCCAATGTCATAAATTTTACCATGACTGGAGTTCTTGACAGAAAAGCTCAGAAGAGAGCAAGTTTACCTCAGCAGAAAAAAAAATCTTACACAGAAGGAAACAGCCAAAAGAAATCAGAGGAATGTTATGTTACTCAGAAACTCAGGATCTCTTCAAACGAGTAGCCGTGCCACTCCCAGTGGACCAGAGGCCACAGGACACGGTGACGCTGAAGTACACGAACCACCACCAGATGCTGGCCTGAAACCGACGCAGGTTTGCAGATGGTGCTGGGAGCCAGGGATGCCAAAGACGGCCATCGACTCTGAGCTGCGTGAGTTTTGCTCAGCTGCACCGAGCTGCACTCGAGCACTTTGTGAATCGCCTTCCTCCCCACCCCCCCGGACAAGCCCCTCCTCACAAACAAGCCCCACCGACAGTCAAAAAGCAGGTGCATCTCCCTCGCTCCTCCCACCCAATCACCTCCCCCCAGCAGCAGCCCTTTACGTGCTTTTCAGGTGTGCCTGTCAGCATTTAAAAGGTGCATCAAAGTGGCAGCTCCTAAGATCCGAACCCTCTCACATTCTTACAGATTCTAACATATTTTGATCACACCCATCTTCCAAAAGATCCCGGGAAGACTGGAGGAAGGGAGACCTCGTTCTTCTTGCAGACGTTGAATCTGAGACCTCCGATTGGAGCTGCCAGGCGCAGGGCCGCTGCGGGAGTCTACCGAGGCTCGGTGCTGATCGAGGGACATGCGTTTGTTTTACACACACACTTGTATTCACTCTGTCAATGTATGTTTTATTCTGCTGATCTATGACTGCATTAAATGACTGATGCTGACATGTCAGGGAGCAATGAAGAAAAGAAAGCTTCCTTTTGCAGCTTACGATGCATCTGTTGGTTTATAGCAGGAGACAGTTTTACAGTTGTCCAGATAGCACAAGGCAGGAAATCCACAAAGACCTCCCCCTCCACACCCGCGGTGACCCCTGCTCCACGCCCAGAAGATGGCAAAAAACCCTCCAGGATCCCCGGGCAAACTGGCCTGGAGAAAAATGGCTTCCTGATCCCAAAGTGGCAGTCAGCATTTCCCTAGGGCCACGAGAACTGAGCACTGATGCAACCCTTCCTGCCCTCCTGTCTCAGGATCTGCCCAAGCTCACAGAATCCGCATTGCTGTCAGATGGCCATCGAGCCTCTGCTTGCAAACCTCCAAAGAAGGAGAGCCCACCACCACCTCCCGAGGAGGCTCAAAATGTATTGTGACTTCAAAGTACTGCAAACTCTTCCATTTGTGTTGACTTCCCAACTTCACTGAGCAAAACTGCTTCTCCTCCACGGCATAAAGACCCATGGCTGCTTCCGGCACCTGACTGGAGGCTATAAGCACCTTCCTCCCTGCAGCCGACCGGCTTGTTCCCAAGGGCCGTGGAGCTTTTATGGCACTGCCAAGGGAAGGCCAGGAGCTCCACACAAGCAGGGACTTTCAAGCAGCCACCTGGGTGAAGCTTTCATTCAGTTCTTGAATAAAATACCCTCTGGCGGCAACCAGGTCTTAGTTCCCAATGTCCCTGTAAAGGAGGACAATCAAGCCATATTTTTAAAAGTGAAGAAAGCATGCAAATTAAGAGCGTTGCCTAAAGATGCTATGCAAGCAACAGAGTGCCAGGAACAGCAGGATACCCACTGAACAGTCTCCCTCCCTCAGCACAAGTGGATCCAACACCCAGTTCTTAGCTGATCCAGTCCACTGACCTGCCTGAGAGCCAAACCAGACGTTACCCTTTTTTAACACAAAAAGGATGACATACAATCTGGCTCTCCGAGTGCCGTAAGATTACTGGTTTGAGCTCTTAAGAATCTGGTGTCATTCTGCCTTTCGGACAACTCTTATGACTGTCACCCATTTTTACTTTAAAGTGGCGTAAGCTGTAAAAGTCACTTTGCGCTGTGCTGTATCAGTTTAAGTTTATCTCTATCATATTTGGTGGAGGTGCGAAAAAGTGGAAAAATTCTGGGGAAAAATAAAACAACTGATTTGGGAAATAGTAGGAGTAAACTTATCACTAGAGCCGGAAGTATATCTATTAAACATACTACTGGATAGTATAAAATACAATGATGCACGCTTGATACT